CAGATCCGTCACATCTGGAGAGAGAGAGAGAGAGAGAGACTAATGTATGTCAATTTTTAAAAGTTTTATAGCCTTTCTTATACTAAGACTTATTATGGGAATTGGATTTATGTCTAACGGATTCGCATCAATGAAATGGTTTACACGACAACTAATGGACAAAAACATGAATATTACTGATAATCAAAATGTTGCCAAAATATTTATAAAATACTATTTCGATAGAATTGCACGAATAGTTCCCATATATTATCTCTCCGTATATTTCTATGTAATTTATGTCAAATATTTAATTTCTGATCGATTTTACAACACACAAGTGTCAGATATATGTACCGATAATTGGATTTTTAACTTGTTATTTGTTGACAATTATTTAAATCAAATGGTAAATATGTCAAATAAACAACTAATATATTATTAATTATAACTGAATTGTGGTTAAAAATAATATAAATGTATTATTGTAGTGTAATACTTCACATTGGTCAATATGTGTATTAGTACAACTTATAATAATAACGCCACCATTTATGCTATTGCTATACAGGTAACATAAATAGACATTATGTTTATAAATTATAATAATGAAAATTAACATAAAATATACAATTATGTACCAATTTTCAGAAATTTAAAAACAGGAATAATATTAATAGTTATAAGCAATACATTGCTGGCAATCAACACATTTTACACAATGTATTCAAACGGTATCACAACTGAAACATGTCAGAGTACTTCCAATTTTACCGACAACCCCTGGAGTTTCATAATGTTAGTCAAAATATGTATTGCACTAAAACCAAGCAAAGGCAGTTTTGGCCCATGGTCTCAACTATCAAGTAGTAATAAAAAAGCGTCTATTGCAACATACTATTGACATCTCAGTCCACACAATGTCCTTCTTTGTTAGGCGTATTTGAGAACATTATGTTGACTGAGATGGCAATTGTATGTGACTATAGAGGTATTGTTGACACTACTTTATAACTGAGAATTTTAGCATAATCTGCCTCTGTTTAGATAAAACCAAACCTAACGTTTCAATCATTCATATAATGTAGTTAATTATCATTTATATGTTATATTTTTAATTTTTATTTACAAGGTATAACAATACAACATATAAATTGTTTTACATAATGCCATTAGGCTATGTAACAGCTTATATCAATGGATTACTCTTATATTGTTTAATTTGCCATGGTTATTCGAGAGTCATATACAAAAGCACCATGGTCACCAAAACATGTATAATTTTATCATTTTTGGTTGCATTGAATGTCATAATTGCAGTCAAAAGGCGGAGCGAAATGTTTGATGAGCTCCCGGTGTTCAGCGCGTGGGAGAGGTGTTCAACCGACTTATGCTTATCATTGCTATCGTGTTATGCAGTAATCTATGCGCACGAAAGTCGGGGCCGATTGACCCGATTCTTGTCGGCCCGGTATTGGCGTCCATTCCGTGCTTCACAACAGACTTCATACCTCTTTCATGGATTGGTTTTATTAATTTTAATGTCATTTATGCCAAAAGATTCTATAATATCCCCAATAATTGTTATGTCATTATTTGTTGCCAATTATATTGTGTCGATTCCGTTGGCGCTGGTGTTTGAGTTACCGGCCATTAAATTGCAACAAATATTATCGAAATGCTTGTTTGAATCGAAAACTTTATCAAATAAATTAAATTAATTAAAGTAAACATATAAAAAAATAATTGTCATTTTTTCATTTTATGTAATACAGTAATCAGGATATTTAAATAACAATAAAATCAATTATATATACGATCAAAAAAAATCATTAATTATTGATTTAATCATTTATTTTGCGTGTATTACAAACACAAAATCTTTATATAATTAATCATTAATAAGTGTTAATATTAAACTTATAAAATAGTTGTGTTAACCATCCATAGAGTGAACGCTACAAATGTCACAAATATCTTCAGCATTGGGTCTGATTTGTAATCACTTCCCGTTTTGACTGAATTACAATTCACTGCTAATTATTATGAGTTGTCACTCAAATTGATCCCAAAATTTAACACTTTGTGACTTCTGTTGTGATAATAAGTGACAAAAGTATTTATTATTTAAATTTTTCAAATCCTATTTCCAGTTGTAGTGAATGTCTCGTGAATTGCATTTATTTCCCACACATTTCTTATTATTAATTCTTGCGCTTAATTCCCAGTCTATTCATTATGTGATACAAAAATTTAGCAGAAATAAATGATAAATGTAATTATTAAATCAATGCCTTTAAAATAATTTTACAAAAAATAATAAAACCAATAATTTAATTTAACTCTATACTGTGTTTGACATATTAATGGCTAATAACTTACATGTATACTACATTTGTACCACAGTCAAAATTAATATAAATAAATTAACATATTATTCAAAATAAAACACACACGAAATACAGTAATAATACTATTATTATAATAGACGTAGCCATTATCCATGTTAACTCTATGCCATAGACTTAGCATTACCCATGTTATCCCTATGCCTTAGACATAAGCTTTAATCCCATAGAAACCCATGTAAACGCATTTCCCCATTGCAAAAGTGTCCTCCATATTATCCTATGGGAGCTGCCCCATGTTAAGTATAGCCATAGGATTAACATGGGATCCCATGTTATTCTTTATAACGTGGGGTGGGGGAAGGGGCCGAACGATCCTATAAACCACATTATTCTTACTGAATTGTTGTTAAAAATACACATAAGAAATGTTTTTTAATTTCTTAAATATTTCTGATCACCCCTATAGTTACCTGTATACTTAATTTCAATATTAATAAAATGATAATACAATAGATATTTTTATTATAAATGTTTTAATATAATGTTATCTTACGTCATAAAGATCCGAAATGTCATATCTAGTTCAATAAAGATATAAAGTTTATTTATAAAAATCAGTATATATTAATAATTACTGAAAAATCATAACAAAAACCGAATTTTCAGACAATTATTGTAATCAATGATTATCTGATTTAAGATAATCAGTGATATATTTATAGATTTGGTAAGAATTATTGGCCATAAACGTTGTATGATTGCCATCCAGTTTGCGAACAATACATTTGCCGCTAATTATCTGTTTAAACAAAAATTAAAATTTTAAAATTAAATTCCTTACTATTTGTTTATTAAACAATGTTTAATGAATAAGTAGCTCGAGTATAAAAGCAACAAATATTTCATGTTCATCATAATCTGTTTTGGCTTTTTATTGAGTTTGTGGTCACGTTATCATACGGTTTGTGCGACTCATTAGTAAAAACGTGTAGCGAATGGACACATACCTCACCAAAACCGTAGTCGTAAAGAACGGTATGCCTGGACTCACTTTTAGCCGCAACATTGCCAGCAAAGGGTTGGTCCGCCCGTATCAGCAGTACATCCCCTTTGAGTCGGTGTCCGTCCATATCGTCACCACCGATGGAATAGTGAATCGTGTGTTGCATTTTGTGGACGTGTGACCGAACGGCAAACAGCACCTCATTTAGCGCCAAACACGGGTCGCCGACGCGCTGTATCAACAACTCGGCCACCACTCGCTCCCATAGACTGCGCGCCACACCCGTCACCGTTTGGATCAACTGTTGCGACTGAATCGATATCCTGGTCATCAGAAACGAGAACAATAAACTCAATTTCTGGTCGCCATTGAACATATGTTGTGTGGCGGCCAAAACCACGGCCACATCTGCGCGATTCTGCACCGGACACAAGTCCAGGGCTATGAGCTTTGGCGGTGGAAACGGCGATACCTTACCATTACTGGCCGCTCGCTGTAATGCCAGACACATATCGTAGGCCACAAACACACCGTATGAATAGCCGCACAAATCAAATCCGTCGTCCAATTGGTTGACAAACTCGCTATGGATTACGTCCAGAAAGTGTTGAGCCGTCTCTCGAATTGAGCCCAACTGAAGGCACTCTTCGGTCCAATTGAGTCCAAT